CATGGTGCAGCTTCAGCAGCTGATAATGAATTCAGTGACTGACTATCAGTGTGCAGTGTGATTTAGATGGATTTAGACTGACTAAACAATCAGGAGAATTATGGACACTAGCAAAATGAATGTGAGGTCAGAGTTAAGAATGATATATACTGACACACACACGCACACACACACACACACACACACACACACACACACATACCTATTACGATCATCTTATCTGACTTATAGCTGTCTTGAGTCTTGTCTTATTCAAGCCTCGACTCAAAGCTCTGACTACCATAAAACATTTAAATGACATTTGAATCATCGAGTGTTTCCTTTGATCGGGGGCTGAGTGAAACTCAGCACTTCAGCTTCCTCTGCATGATCCAGTGACCAGTTCATCACAGGATGAGAGTCAAAGTCTTTTCCTCCCTTCTTTTGTTTCTTCCCCATTACCCCCAAAACCTCCACCTCCCACCCAACTCATCTGCCTCTAACACTGAAGGCATTAATAACAGATCACATGAGCTGAATGTTTGAAGACACACACCTCCCTATTAGAATTGAATCCCTCTTGCACGGTGTCTGCCCCGTTTTGAACTCAGTGTAAATCCAAAGTAAAGGCCTTGCCTCTGCAGCACATCCTAGAGTCCAAGACAAAAACTGTAATACTGACTTAATGCTGGAGTACTGCTGTGTTATTACAGAACATTACACTAAAAAACAAACAAACTAAAACCATAAATGGTGAATCAAAAAGAATCTTCCAATTCCAAAAGGCTATACTTTTTAAAATAATGGACAACAAAGCTGGCAGTAATTGTTAAAATACAATATATATATGAATATATGCAACATATGAAGTGTTAGACACAAGACAGTGTTCACAAGTGCTCAATCTGTCTCCCCCCAGATGCACAGCATATGTTATAATGGTAACATTTGTGCAATAATTTTGTAGCCACTTTACCGCCTGATAGAATTAAAAATTCTACGTTTGTTACACCAACGAGCCACGACTTGATTCCAGTGAGGAGGGTTTGTAAATCTGATCTGTTGCATCATGGCTGCATCAAGCAGTGAGGAGCATAATCTGCCCCATAATCTTTTCCAAATCAGGCTATTGTTGTTTACTTCAATAACCCAAATGGAGTAGTGAGCTGTACTCAGTGTGTAATCTTAACACTATTTTGAATTTGAAACCATAGAGAGGAAAAGTTTAAAGAAAATTAAGGCTTTAAGATAACATTGTTTCCATAAAAAGTCACCATAAACACATTCATATAAAGTAGCACTCTTTTCAAAATCGACCTGCTATGACCACCCATGATCAGCTCCATTTTTATTATCTTGGACTGGCAGAGTAGCTTTTGTGAATCACAGCTCAAAATAAGGCTTATTTAGCTTTTACTGGGCTTTGGTGCCGGCTCTGTGTTCAGCTTCGATGTGAATCAAACCATTTGAACTCCTCTACATTTCAGGCAGCTCTCTTCTCTTTGGGTGTCCTTCACAATCAAAAGACTTGGACAACAGTTTGCTGTGCTAGCATCTAGAGCGTGGTACCTCAGATGAAAACACTACAGACATCCCCTCACTGACACTACAGAGAAGCGTAGCGTGGATCGGCCATTAGGCTACAAAGAAAATGAGCCACTGCCATTCTAACATGTTACAGAAAAAAGAAACAGAACAATAGGTCATTTAACAGATCAAAAAAAGATAAATAAAATGTGCCATTTTGTCTGTAGGCTTTATGTACAGCAGCAATGCTCAAGAGAGGGAAGAAAGAAGCCCCTCTATTAACTCCATCATTCTAGTTTGTTTACTGCTTGGTCAGACCTGAGGGTTGTATTATTTTCAACCCGCAGACACAACACTACTGGAGGGAAGATAAATAATTAGTCATGAGATGAGTTTCTCCCTTCATCCAT